CTTCAACCCACCTGCGAACCCAACTAAGGCCTAACACGCAGTAGTCATGTGAAAATGGTCTTGCTTGTAGCGTGGTTTCTTGCTTAATCATCTGGTAGGTAAATTTATATCATACCGGCAATGTGCTAAGGTATCGTATCATACTTGTAGCAACATCGCGTTATACGACACCTTCAGGGAAGAACGTCCGCATCCTTCGGCTTGTGGTTGATTCTGTTCTTAGCCTTTAGCCTTTAGCTGGTGCATTTTTACCCCATGGGATACTTACTGCTTGTATGATACTCGCGTCTCTTTGTCCCACTTAATTCACCCACTTTCGAGAACTGCTTATGACTGTCTCTTCAAAAATGGATGGGTCGGTCACTGTGGGTCAGGTTTAGCCGTCAGGCTCTAATGCTTGCAGATGATCCCTCTCACCCCTGCATACAGAGGTCTCCGCTCCCTGATACCGTACCCACCCGCGAGTCAGTCGCGACTCAGAGCGACCCTCGGACACATACTCGACTATGCAAGCAATTGGTTAGGCGACACAACAAAACCACGCCTATGGGCTCGGAAACCTCCCGATATATCGTGCCTGACTCCCCGGGGGGGGGGGGTTAGAAACACGGCGGGGAGAGCAATGGTCTGATACGGGCATCGGATCCATCGTCGTGAGATGTTTTGCCAGTGGAGGGTGGTGAGCCTTGTGAGTTTGGAAGTGTTATTATAACTGCTTCCGCAACCCGCCGGTTTGTCATGCGTGTGCGTGTGGACGACGCAAGGCGACCTGGCTGGCTGGCTCGATCTTGGGGGAAAAGCTTTGCGCGAGCGAAGGGCTTTAAAAGGCTTGTGGTGGGGGGGGGGATCTACCGGAAGGAGCAAGACCCCGGCGTGGAAGCCATTGTCTTCCGTGATGTCATGGGAAAGTCGGGGCGTTGTGCTAGGACAAGATGTTAGTTATGTGGTATCATAACCATTGATCGTAAATTCTACACAGCCCTGAGTGATAGGGGGCGTAATGGTTTCTCAAGATATTCTCTCCCGTGCCTCTGTTTCGGGATAGCGTCGACCCCCTAACCATAGTTTGCGGAGATCTCTGGAGAATTTAGGTAGCCACTGGCGATGTCTATATATGTGCCTTCGTGTATCCCCTGTGCGGGGGAGATCCTGCGAGTGCTACCCTTAACACGATCGTGTTTTTAGAGAGCACGTACCACATTCCAGAGCACTCGGGAGGTTCCAAGGTTCACAAATCCCGGTATTCCAGACGGTTGGTCGGATTCCATTTCCAACTTCTTCTCTACCTAACTATCTAGGAAAGGTCTAATCCCATTAGTTATAGGAGAACGAGTCCCCCAAATGAGAAACTTTTGTTAGCATTTTCAACCGAGTGAGAGGATATGAACCTCAGGAACTTGCACTTTCGCGGGTGTAAGTCCCTTGCTTCCCCACGACGAACAATTGTTGTTGGAGAAGAAGGATATAATATCATAGCCCTCAATTCCCGTCCGGGATTTTTCCCCGGGATATCTTTGCATCAACGTCGCCATCGCTCCTTTTGCCAATGCCTTATCGAAGCGCAACTTGGAACATAGCATCAGATCCATACAAACGAACGCCCACGAGAACCACCGCAACACCTGGTTCTCAGCCCCCGAAAACGTCGGACTCGACGTCGAGTAAGCATCCCGAATCCCTCTATAATTCCACCCACTCTACCCCCATAGCGGCGGGAGAATGAAGCGATTTCCCATCCACAGCGGTTCTCCCTATTATGCTTTGGCGCTCCGTTCGCGTTTCCCACCCTCACTATTTTGTACCCGTCGACCGGCACCCGCGGTGAGTCCTCCCAGGCTCGGGTTCGAATCGCTCAATCTGATACTCTTTTACTACCGGTGATATGGACAAAGGAGTCACGCTTGACGTCACGCTAAAACCTAGACCATACTGCAATTTTGGCTAGGTGTGAAGGATCGGAGCAAGTGTGGGGATAGATGGCATCCGAGCTGCTGTCAGGAATGACCACCAATGTGAAGGCGGTCAGTCGTGAGGTGGTGGGAACGCGCTGACTGAGTATAATATAGCTTGCAGGGCACCTCCTATCTATCTCCGTGGGCCATTAAGAATTGCAGATCCCAGACAATAAGTGATGGGCCTGCTTGATCCACGAAAGCGACGCCCATTTCGTTGGAGGACTCAGTATCCTGTTCTCGTGATGTGATACACACTACTCCTATATCCTATCACAAGGTTTTATACAGGTGATAACGGTACCGATGCTCCCAGGACATAACATTTATATCTGAGATCTCCTAGAGACATACAGCAGCAGCGCCTGTCTCGTTACTACAGGTACAAGGCAAAGTGGGCCGATGTGCCAAGTGTCGTCATAGGCAAGGAATGGATATGAAATACTTGTCGACTATGTCTACTCCCGAACATTAGCAGAGAGTCGCACTGGTCCCCACTGGCAGACTGACCGCATTACGGACGGTTGGCCCACCGGCCCCCTTTGAGGCATCGGGGGTTTCACCCCGTGCTCCACATCGCATTGTGGAATGTAAGTAGGAGGACACAGCAACCAAACTGTGCTAGTTGTGGTAGTCAGAGGCCGACGAGTTGAAAGGGTTGAGGATTTTTGAAAATAATTGAGTCGACCATTTGGAATGACGACCGTGAGTGATGGGCTCCCATGTCTAACCGAAGAGGCATCTTGGAATATCGCCTTTTTTCCTCACCCATCTTAATTAATCTTCCTTAAGACAGCCAAGTTCCCTAGTGCTACACCCTTCTAGGTGTAGAATACAAGGAATTGTAGAGACCCATTTGTTTGTACCTGACCTGCTAAAACACCGGTTCTCCTCCGGTCATGCCAGTTGTTTCGGGGCTGAGATCGAGGGAAGCCCCACGTTGAAAATCCAAGAATATATCCTCATATCGGAAATAGCGCCGGGAGCTGGGTTACCCTCTAAAGGTGCCTTAGCCTCACTGAGCCCGCGCTAGTTCTGTTTTGGCAGGGAGATCCAGAGAGAGTCTCACAGTCACATCTAGCGCTGGTATAATAATATATACTCGTACAGGTATGAGAGCCAGAAAATTTCAAGGGATCGTGGAGGTCCACAATCCACAATCGCGAGCATATCTTGGGCTCGGCCAACTGTTTTTAGCCTTTAAACAACCAAGTCCACTCCTGTGCCTGGCAGATCCGCATTGCGACCGTAGAGTCAAGTTCACTTTACAATCTACTGTGAGAAAAATAAAGGCCTCAACTCCCGTTTCTCCGGTAGAGCTCACCAGCTCCATGTCAGATGCAGGTACCCCCGCCGCCCGCTCTGAACCAATATTCCTGCCAACCCACCTACACCCTATCAGCATGGGCCCGAACCGTATCCCTTGGGTTCCTACTCGTACAACGAAGGGCTGTCCCTCTGTCGGTAGCTTACTACCAATATATCACAACATCTCACTCACTCCACAGCCCGGAAGCACCCGCTAAAACCCTACTATCAAACCCTAAGCCATAAATGGCGCATGCACAACGACAACAACCCCAACGACCTCACGGACACGAGTCCGAGCGGCACCATACTCGAGGTGCATACGGCCGCCTACCCACCCCATAAGGCGTCAATGCAAACGCCGACGGTACCCACTTGCCCAATCATGCCCGCCAGGGCACGCAATATTCGCGCCATGGCGAAGTATATGTAAGAATCCCATACTGCACAAACTCATCTCCGTTCTCCGTCATTCTAACTCACCAAGACCCCATGCTTCCCCAAGCAAATCACAACACCTCACTCGCCTCAATCAACCCCAGCACAGCCTGGTCCACAACACTGGGCACCCATATTTTGGCCCATACCAACATCACCAATTAGTCAAAAAGTGTTCAAATCATTATACTACCGATATGATACGGTAGTAAGCTCAGCCGAGTCGAGTGGAGTCCAAAAAATTTATTGCTCCCCCGATGTATAAGAAAGACGCGGCAAGCGGGAGGTAAATAAGGAATAAAAAAATAAAACATATAAAATAAAAAACACCAATTCTCTACCTACAGTTAAACGCACCAAAAATTTCATTCGCATCCCATACACCAAATCAACACCCATAAGAAAATGACAAAATTTTAATAGTGAAAAGCGTGGCAAAAAGTTAGAACTATGACCGACCGGTTAGAATATATTTGCTTTGGAAAAAAAGGGGGGGGGAGGAGGGGGAGGGGTAAAGTCAAATAAATCAGAGATTCCCTAGATTGATTCCTTGGTTAAAGATGAGAAGATGAGAAGGGGTGGAATGGGAGAAGAGAGTAAGGAAAGCCATGATGACGTTACGAAAAGCAAGTACCTGACCCGAGATCATATTGAGAAGAAATACGGACAAAAAAACGGCCCCAAGTGGGAGAATGGGAACTTTATATATGTACCAGTAAGAAAATAAAAAAATAAAAAAGTAAAAGTAAAAGCAAACCCCCGTGACAAAAGAGACTTGATTTAGCTCCCAAATGAGGGAATGTTTGTTCCCTGAAAATGAAGATGATACAGAGAGAGCGAAGAATGGGACAAGGGCAAAGGTGAGGTAAAGGTTAATAATAACGGATGGTGAAAGGAGGCAGGAAAGGAAATGATACAAGGGAAGGGGATTATATAAAAGGTGGATGTCCCCGACAGTCAGAAAACGCGCCCAGTGAGACTCTTTCCCAGGAACCAGTTACCCAAACAGAATGATACACTCCCCCAATTTCAACAGCGACAGCGACAGAGAAATATACCCAAACAGAAGTAGGGCCCATCACGTTCTCAACGACCCTATCCCTTCCAGTATGCACGTAAAAATAAAACAAAAAAAATGGGGGGAGGGGAAGGAAGAAAGGAAAAGAAAATACTAATCCACCCAAAATCCTCCAGGGGACGCTGAGGCGGTGAGGCACCCATGGCACCTTCTAATT